TTTTTTAACAAAATGGCGACGCTGAAGCCAATTTACTAAACGTCGTTTTGTCAAATCGGCGTTGCGGGGATCTACCATTCGATTGAACCTGGAGCAAAAAACCAAATTTTTTAAAAAACTATATAATATGCACTACAGAAGTACATACGGATATTTCGATATGTTAAATACTTTTTTTTTTATTTAACATTTCTTGACAAAATTTTTTGGAAAAGAACTTGAAAAGACTTTGAAAAGAAAATGACTTTTTTTTTCAAATGCTCGCAATTTTTATAAAAATCTATATTTTAAAATATCCGTATGTACTTCTGTAGTACATATTTGATATTATATAGTTTTTAAAAAATTTTGGTTTATTGCTCCAGCTTCAATCGAATGCCAGATCCCCGCAACGCCGATTTGACAGTGGCTACAAAAACGATGTTTAATAAAATGGCTTCAGCGTCGTCATTTTATTAAAAAAATAAATGAAAAAAATATTTTTTACTTCTAAAGACATGTATTATTAAAGCCTTAAAACGAATTTTGTATTACTTTTATTGTTTTCCTAAAAAAAATTCCCAAAGTTACCTATGATTTTTAGGCGCTCAAGGTGGTGTAACCCCTTAAAAGAGCACTCGCCTGCAGTTTACAATTATCGATCGTCGACTAGTCGAAGAAAAAAAAAGAAGAAGAAATCCCACCTGCGTCTTTCGAATGAGCGTGCTGACCGTGGCTGATGTGCCAAACTTGAAGCGCTTCTTGAGAATCGTTTCGCGCGTGCTGGGCATCAGCACTATGGCCATGCTGTACAGCACCGCCAGGCCGGAGAAGACCGCCAGTATGATGAACCAGAACCACAGGAAGATGTAAATCTTCTCGTTGAGGATATTGAGCGCGAGTATGCACAGCGCGTCGATCGTCTGGATTGTACCGGAGCCACCAAATTTGTGGAAGGTACACTTGGTTACGCGCGGGAACACCGCGATCATCGGGTCGGTACGGTCGTCTTGATTCATGTTGCTGAACTTCAGCACGTCCGTGCCGTACGTGAGGAAAGCGCCGCCCAGAAAGGTGTCCACGAAGAATATGTTGCCGACCTGAGGAAAACCAACGATCGTTTTAATTCGCTATTCTCAATTAAAGTGTTGATCTGTTACATCTTCTCTATTTTTTTTCTACTTGTCGAAGTTTTAACGTCCTACCTGATTTTATAGCCTTGTGATAACTTGAAAAAAAAAGAAGTTCAAATTAGGGCCGGTGATTCGCTTCGAAGGCTTCGACATTCG